GTGCCTTGTCGACTCAGTCGCACGCACGCACGCACGCACGCACGCACGCACGCACGCACGCACGCACGCACGCACGCACGCACGCACGCACGCACGCACACACACACAACATAGAAGGTTTGGAGTCATGAAACATGGCGGAAGTGACGAACCGCGGGGTCCTTATCTCAAATGTTTAAATAATCATAACTCTGCGAAAAAAAATTGTAGAGAGCTTAGCGACCTCGCGTTTTTCTTGTCTCGGAAAGCCCTTTCGAACGAGCCCTCACTCGACCCCACATTCCATTTAAGATTTTTTGACCCGCTCCTACCACCGCTCTCCCGGAAGTGTGGAGAAGGGTGTTTTTGTGGTTAAATAATAGACTTTGTGATCCCATTGTATCCCTATAAATTTCAATCCTATATTACAAACCATTCAAAAGTTATTTAGGTGGCCCGAAACTTTTGGCGGGCACTGTATATTTTTCTGCCACTGAATTCTTGCGCCTAAACAAAGCTGAGAGCTAACAGTAACAGGAATCACATATAAATAATGAAACTTCTCAATAATTACGTATTTTTTCCGATAATATTGCTTACAGTTTTAGTTTTTAAATATTACTGTATTTTTCAGCAAACGTTACTATTTTTTCAGTAAACATCTACAAATTTAGACTAAAAGTCTAGAGAAAAGTTCTCGAGAATAAGCGAAAATTCAGAGATTATTACTATTTTTCGAGTCTCATTGTCAGTGTACATGGAATCCACATGGAAATCCATATGGAAATCCATATAGAAGTCTACATGGATTTTTCAACATATGCATTGAGATATATATATATATAATAATAATAATAATATTTCCGGGAGGCAGCCTTCTATCGAAGGTCCACCAACGACACGCAGATGAGGTCCATTGTGTCTTCCCGGCCGAGCTAACTCCAAGTCAACCAACACCTGTCGTCCCCCAGAAGCGGAGGAGGTCTCTGACTTGGAGTTGCCAAACCTGTTTTGGCTCAAGAAATTCCGAGCCCAAAAGAAGTCGCCTGTTCCCAGCGTAAGCTGGGCATTTGCACAGCACGTGGAGACTAGTCTCTTCGCCAAATCCGCACTTCCTGCATACCGGGGTGTCACAGCGCCCCAGCCTATGCATATGGTAATTGGTGAAGCCATGACCTGTGTAGATCTGCACCGCCAGTCTGGCTTCCCTTCTCCTCAAGGCCCTGATGTTCCTGGCAAGGTCCCTTCTGGGTACCTCTCCCAGAAGAGCCCTTGCCTGTTGGCACTTGGTTTTTGTCGTTTTCTTCCAAAAGTCCGCGTGGCGTTCCTGCAGCCAGCCTCTTATTTCGGCTCTGCCAACACAGCTGGGCACGCCTAGAGCCGGCTCCGGTCCTACCATCCTGGTCGATGAGCCAGCTCTGGCCAGCTCATCGGCGATCTCGTTGCCCTTGATCCCTGAGTGACCCGGGACCCAAACCAGGGCAACGTCGTTGTTGATTGACAGCCGATCCAGCGCATTCTTGCACTCCCAGACCAGCCGAGAATCAAAGATACATGCGCCCAACGCCCCCAGGGCCGCCCTGCTGTCTGAGCAAATCCTGATACGCTCGCGCTTCCCACCCGGTGCAATCAGTGCCTGAGCACATCTCATGATTGCCGCCACCTCCGCTTGGAAGACAGTGGTGAGCTCGCCCAGTGGGAGAGCCTCCCTGACTCCTTTTCGGCATCCATAGATCCCAGCACCGGCGCCCGTGTCAGTCTTGGAGCCATCCGTGTACCAGACGTCCCCATTCCTGATGACGGGCACCTCATGCCTCTCCCACTCCTCGCGACTTGGAATGAAGATCCTAAAAGATCTGCTGAAGTCATGCCTTACAGGCATTCTATCCTGCCCCATCTCGAACACGGCTCCCGCTAAGAGCTCACGTGGAAACCGAGTGTGGGTCACAGCGACCGTCCATTTATTCCCGCACTTCAACCTGTAGGCAGTAGCGGCCGCAGCCGCCACTATTGAGAGATGGAATGGTTCAATGCCAAGTAGCAGTCCCATAGCCGCTACTGGCGTTGTTCTCATAGCACCCAGGGCACCTCTAAGAATGAAAGCCCTGACGCGCTCCGGCGATGTCCGGGCCTCGGCCACTTGTACCCTCGGCCACCAGACCACCGCTGCATAGAGCAATCTTGGCCGGAGCACCGCAGTGTACACCCAGAACACTCTGTCTGGCTGCAGGCCCCAGGTTTGCCCAAAAGTTCTCCTACACATCCAAAAATATGTGCAGGCTTTCTTGCACACAGCTTCCAGGTGCAGCTTCCAGTTCAGCCTCTTATCCAGGATGACTCCCAAATACTTGACCGAACCCTCAGGTATCAGCCTGACTCCCTCCAGAACAGGCCCCTGCACGGAGTCCATCTTGTACTTACGGGTGACGATTACGAGACTGGTCTTTTTCGGGTTCACCGACAGTCCCGTCTCCCTACACCATTTCTCGACCACCTCTAGAGCCCCTTGTGTGAGCTCGAGAAGTGTCTCAAGGAACGGTCCTCGAGTCAGGATAGCCAAATCATCAGCATACCCGATCGCCTCAAAGCCCTTGTCATTAAGCATTCTAAGCAGCCTATCTGCTACCAAGCACCATAGGAGCGGTGAGAGAACTCTCTCCTGGGGGCAGCCTTTCTCTACCCATCCTTCCACACCTCACCATTCCTAGTGAGGTCGTTACCTGACGCCCAAGCATTCCACGGATCCATTCGACCAGCTTCGCCGAGACGCCCTGTCTCGCTGCCTCAGCACAGACCACTCGATGTGGAGTGTTGTTGAAAACTCCCTTAATGTCCAGGAAGGTGCCCACCGCAAAGCCCCCTTGCTGGAACTGCCTCTCGATGATCGAAACCATCGAGTGGAGAGCCGTATCACTCGAGTAGCCGGCCCGGTATGCGTGCTGATTCGAGTGCAAAGGATCACTGGTCAGCACATTGTCTCTTATGTAGACATCGACCAGCTTCTCCAACGTCTTCAAGAGAAATGAGGTCAAGCTGATCGATCTAAAGTCCTTGGCAGAGACGTGGCTCTTCCCTCCTTTGGGAATAAAAACCACTCTCGCCCGCCTCCACGCTCGAGGTGTGTATCCAAGAGCCAGGCAGGCCCTCAGCACCCTTTGTGAGGAGTTCAACTATTTGCTCCAGCCCCTCCTGAAGAAGAGCCGGAAAAACAAGGTCGGGCCCCGCAGATTTAAAGGGTTTGAAGGAGCCAATAGCCCATTTGACCTTGTCCGGCCTCACAATTTCAGCCGCTAGCTTCCAGTCTGGCACGTGCCCTGAAGGAGCCCGCGTCAGCTTCCCAGAATCTGTCCACGCCCCTTTGAAACCCAGGAAAATTGGTCTCTAAGAGGTGAATCAGGCATTGTTCTCCAGATACCATGTTGCTATCCGGCTCCTGGATTGTTTCCAGTGCCGCATCCGGGTTTCTAGACAGGAACCTGCAGAGTCTTGCGGTAGCCGGAACCCCTTCTACCGACTCACAGAAGTCCCGCCAGCTCTTCTTTTTTGCCTCAACCACCGAGTCCCTATACTCCTTCTGAGATGTCCTGTAGAGGTCCCAGTCGGATGGCCGGCCCGTATTCCTGGCTTTGTTCCAGGTTCGACGTGCCTTGGCTCTGAGACTCTGCAGCCTTGGACTCCACCAGGGGATCCCCCTGTTATTCGTCACCGTCCTGACCGGACAGTTCGCCTCATAAGAGTTCACCAGGGCTCTCTGTAAGTGCTCCACACAGAGCTCCAGTTCCTCCGGCGTGCCGTACCTTCTGGGAAATTCCTTGAGGTCGTTGCCCAGGTCCATCCTATAGGAGGTCCGTCCGCTTTGGGTTTCTCACCTTCCTGGCCTCCACCTTAAGATCTGAAAGCCTAAAGGTTATTAGTCTATGATCGGAAAGAGAGGGCTCATTCGACACCCTCCACCCCGTCACTTCGCTCATGGCCCTCCGTGAGCAGAGAGTGAGGTCAAGTACCTCTCTTCTCACCCTCGTGCAAAAGGTAGGTTGATTACCCCTGTTCAGAACCTCCAGGTCGGTCGTTATTAAGTATTCCAGTAACTTCTCCCCTCGCTCGTTCATATTGGTACTGCCCCATATCGTGTGGTGCGCGTTGGCATCGCACCCCACCACCAGCAATCCTTCCTTCTGGCAGAAGTCTACCAGCCTAACCAACTCCGGTGGCGGCACCTCTTTTCCATGAGGGAAGTAGGCCGAACATATTACCAGCCTTTTGGTGCCCCCAATCCTGCCGGTTGCCATCACCTCCACTGCTGCTAGGTCTCTGGAACATAGCTCTGGCAGAAGACACGCCTCCAGACCCTTGACCGCAATGTAAGCCCTGGATCTTTGTTCGGTGGGGGCCCTAAAGAGCTTCCCACATGCTGCCACTCCTCTAACGCAACCATGGACTACCCACGGCTCTTGCATCAGAGAAATGGCTGTGTGCATCTTAGATTGGTGCCTAGCTAAGATCGCCGAGGCCCCTTTACTATGATGCAGGTTAATCTGGGTAACCTCAATCACCGACCAATCCATCAACCGATCAGTCTTCAGATCGAGGCTCCTCCCCGTCCGTTCCCTCACTATGGGACCGTGCCACCTTCACAGTGACCTGTTCGATCCCATAGCATAACTTGAAGTCCAGCTCTCTCAATTTGCGAATGCTGGACTCCAAGATGCCGAAGACGAAGTTGCTCCCCTCGGGGGAAGCCCCAACGTTTTCGGCAAACACACGCCAGTTCAAGGCGCCAACGCCCGGATTCTGCCTCTCCAGCAGCGCCTGGACCGCAGCTGCAGGTTTCGGAGGCCCCGGAACCCAGACCACGGCCCTGTGCAGCCTTTGAAGTTCGTCCAGGCCACCATCCCGAGCCTGGCGCCCTCCCAGGATACAATACTACCCACTCGACTTTCGAGCCACTCAATTGACCCCGCATCCGCACCCCTGATGACAACGGCGCCGTTCTTCAGGTTGGCCGGTCCCACAAATCTGGGTAGGGAACTCTCTCGGATCCCCTCCATCTCCGTCAGGACCGCCCCCAGGAACAAGGTCAGCTGCTCCGGAGTGATGCCCCTCTCGGGGTACCCCTCCACAACAACCGCCCTCGCCAGCGGATCGGCTGCCGCCGCATAGGACCCAGGCTCCTGAGCCCTTGGCTTTTTTGTGGCCCTTTTAACCGAGGGGGGGGGGAGTTTCGTTAGAGCCCGCACGGCGCTTTTTACCGGTGAGCCCTTCCTTCCCCTCCCCTGGTTTAGCTACGGCTGTCGAGACACAGGGAGATTGCCCCTCAAGAGCCTTCTCCCTATCCCTCTTGGCCCGCCTCTTCTCGGCTCCACAGCGGTTCCTCTTACGAGGAGCCTCTGCAGCGCCCTTATCCCCACTGCCTTCTCCCGAGTCCATCGGGGCCCGTTCGGAGGCAGGGACCTCTACAACCTTGCTGGCAGCAGCTACGTCGCTTTCCGAGCCCATACGGGCCCGTTCTTGCGGCGCAGTCGCTGCCTGCGTCACCGAGTGCCCACTCGAGCCTTCGATCTCCATTGCTTCAAGATTTAATTTGCTAATGTTCATCTTGATCCCACGAGTAGCTAGGGAAGTATACGGTCCACCCATGCAGAGCCCCGCATGCATGGGTAAGGCATTGTTACTGCTGGGGTTCTGCCTGGTTCCCCAGAGGTTCTACTTACGACACTGCTCCCCCAGTGCCACGCAGCCCTCGCCGTAGAGCTTGGCTTGGGGGGATGGTCCACGGCGACGGCTTTCCCGGCCACACAGGGTTTTATACCTGGGAGACCAGTTATCACCGCCACTATCCGATGGGTTCCTCAACCCCACACAGGGTTTTATACTTGGGGAGCCAGAACCCTCATCAGACTTCCTCCTATCCGCCACCCAGGAGTACGCGCCCGATGGGTATCCCAACCGCACGGGATATATAATATATATATATATATATATTATATATATATGTAAATAATTTATAATTTATATATCATTAAAATATTAAATTTGCCAATATATGGTTCGCACATGTATTTTTTTATAGATGTTCGAAATTCGTGCTACAACGCGCGAGTCGCGCACCGGACAGCTCGGCCAATCACTTCGCCCGCGGGACCGATGCGTGACATCGGCACATTTGGCGACTCCAAAACTGCCTGTTTACTTGTTTTGCTTAACTTGACTCTGACGTCAGAGTCAG